CCACCCTAGCACTCGTCACCAATGAACCTGACTATGCGGTCGGTGCCGTCCTCCGATAACAAGTGAGACAGGAATGAAAACCCATAGTTGTTTCCTTCAAGAAACACCAACCGGGACAACTTTTTTTCCAAAACGAATCTACCATTAAAAACAAAAAATCCTTCGAAACATTTCCACTCATCCAGATTTTATGCGTTTTTGCCTCCATACGATCAACGTTTCACACGTTTATCGTGTCAAGTACGCGCAGTTTTCATTCATCCTCCCTGGTCGAACACAATCCTGAATAACACAACCCATTGACTCGTGTACACCTTTTCATTTATCACATTTCCGCCTCTGTGACTTTTCGTCTGCATATCTCCTTATCTACAGAACTATGACCTGTTATAAATGTGCTACACTGCTCGCCTTCTTTTTATAAATTTACACTGACCGTTTTGTGTTTATCTTTGTTTCTCGCGCGTAAACAGATCTCGTTCCGTTGTTCTTTTTAACTCCATTAACTGTCGACCCAATAGGCCTGCCATTTATTGTACAAGATTATCGTGCATCCCAGCATGCCTCACGACTTTTGTTGTGAAATTTACCATAGTTATTTATATTTTGTTGGTCGTTTGTTTTAGTGGAATAATGTTGATTTTATGTTTGATCCGTGTCAAACTACTTTGGTTTAGGTCTATATGTAAACGCTTGCGATTCCCTCCAAATGCTTCGTTCATGCTCAGTGGATTATATGAAATATATCGAGAGCATTTTCTGAGGAACCGACGTTTGACATGGTGGCAGCGGAAACCGACACGAACTTCCCAATGATTACGGGACTGGATCGCTAACCTCGGGCTGCTTTGATTATGGAGATTGGCTGACAACTGGAGACTGTGGCGAACACATTATGCAGATTTTCCTACGCTAACTGAGACGGACCGCGAATCAAGTTCCGTACAATTGGCTTTCTTACGTCACACTATCAGCCCGGCTGCTGCGGTCGTCATAAATGAATTCATGCACAGTCCGGATCAGGGAAGTGCAGATTGGCAGGAGGTGATGTCGAAGAAGAAGCAGTACTGTTTTGGTGAATCGAAGAGACTTATGAGCGATTCGTTTTCAACCATCGGAGGTTACAGGATTTCACTCTATCGTGCGTGTAATTATGGTGCATATCTCGAACGAAGTTTAATAAAGAATCAAATTGCCGAAGACACCGAGGACAAAAAAGAGAAAGAAGAACATTAAAATGCTTCACAGGAGGATTTAGAAATTAGTTCACAAGTGCGGTGAAAAATGCCAACGATAGGCAATACAGCACATTTCCTATCCTGAAGCGGATAGATATGATAATGATGATCATGACGAAACATTTTCTAAAAAAGAAGATTGTGTTGGAGTTTTGTTTGAATTGATCATTTGTTTTACTGCATCAATTTTGTTTTTATGACTGGTCCGTGTAATACTTGATTGGTTTAGGGTTGTATATAAACGCCTGTGATTCCCTTCCAAAGCGTCATTCGTGTCCAGTGAACTAGAGAAAATATATCGAGAGCATTTCCCGAAGACTTGACTTTTGACACCTTAGATTTACGACCTATCAGGGGGGGGGGTCTATTTATTCTGTATAACCTCTTCTCAACAGGCCAAGTTGACTGTTTCTTTACACGATCTGGTCTGAAACATTTACGGGAACACCCAAGGAAGCCATTCAAAGACCGGCCCAGAACATTCACTCACTCCATCTCCTTCAGACTAACGGTCATCTCAGAATGGGATAAACCTTCACTAGAGAATATGAACTCCTCTTGCAAAAGGGTCTTCAAGACCCTGCTAAACTCTCACCAGGGGCTTACCCTTCTCCAGATCTAATTGATCTCCACCTTCTGGAGGACACCCCCACTTTCTTCTGCTTGTCCCTGTTGCCTCCTCCTGTCACGTCCTCCTTTTCCTCCTCTAAATATTCCCCGATGCGTGCATCCTAAACCCAGCGACACCATATTGGAGCCAGCTCCTTTTTCCATTAATCTCTCTTCCATCTCGTGCACCGAACTGCAGAATAAAAGACAAATACTGAACCAGGACTATTGGACGCAAGTCACAAACCCGAGTACTGCTTCAAGATTTCAAGATTTCAAGACCAGAGAAGAATGTAGGGAAGGCTGGAGACTATTCGGCTTATAGGAAAGATAGAGTGGATTACAGAAAAGGCGGAGGAATACTCCTGCTGGTCAAAGCTGCTTGCACCAGATGGAACTCACCAATAAAACTAGCGTTACCTAATATTCAAGACAAGGCGTGTAGTATCCCCTTGGGAAGACGCCCGTTAGGATTGCTACTAGTCTATCATGCACCCCAAGTGGAACCCACAG